ATAAGGTTAGGTAAGTTTTCTAAGATTCTTTTAGTGTAAAATTAAAAAATTTTACATAAACATTAATGAAAAAAATATATCTTTAAACGTATAAGAGAAAATTTCAGAAAGGACTTAATTTTAAATGAGTTCTTGCTAATTGACCAGTTTTACATATTCGGCACGACATATGTTTTATATATATATTAAAATATATATATATATATATATATTATATATAAAATATATTTTATATATATATATAATTTTATATGTTACTATTAAAAAACACAATAACAACACATCAAGTATAAACTGGATAATAAGAAACAAAATCAACTCTGCGGGAAACACACCATAATACATATATACTCCATCCAACTCGTATCGAAGCAAAAAAGCTGTATACATAAAGCCTTAACAGATATGGCGACGTCCACATCACATAGGAGACGCACATAAATCACGGGATCACACAACATTCACTCACTTGACATACACAATTAGACACTGCTGACCAGCCCGTTATATTACCCCTGAACCTCAATCTCAAATCTCTTAACTCTAAGGCTTTATACACCGACGGGAAGTCTCTCTCCCATCTCCCCTCATTCACCAACTTATTTCGACATTTCGTCCTATAAAACGTTACTGCTAAAACCCGAATCCTACTGTTACCTCCGACCTTCCTCATAGCCCATGACACAAATATAATCGGCCACTATATACGACACCGCACGTTATACACGCCCGGAGCACTAACAACCCACTCGCCCCCACCAAGCGTAAAACTCTACTGAACCACGCACGTACCACATCTAAAGTGTCACAGAAATACACCCCATGAAAAGCAGACTCATCCACCCTGCACGCCGGACAACCCAGGTCCTCCCCCAAACACCTGTTATACAACACTACCCTGGACGGCAGGATCCCATGCAAAAACTTAAAGACCACTTCCCGAACATGAGCATGCAGACACAAAAGTTGAACTGCCCAAACTCCACCACGAATCTACTCCCCGTCCACATACAGCCCAGTAAAACGGATCTTGAAGACATGCAAGCAATATTTGAGACATGGTGCATCCCTGACGATCCGATGCCCCTGCTCAACGGTACGAAAACACCTAACCTCCCATTAACTTGCACTTTAAATCCCGCCCCATTGTACAACAAACGGGCCCACGTGACGACCTCATTTCCAAATCCCTGCCATCTCATAAATCTTCACAGGACCTCCCTTTCCACACTATCAAAAGCGGCTCTCCAATCCAGAGCCAGAACACCACCCCTCCCCCCCTCTCCCCGCAATCCTCAACAAACTCCCTCATATTCCCATGACCATCATACATCGACCTACCTGGTACACCAAACTGACCCTTATGGATCACCTTATCAAACACTTTCTTAATCCTATTCATCAAAATTTTCGCATATAGCTTATAGTCACTGCACATCAACGAAATGGGACGATAGTCTTTAATCGCTAACGGCACGTCACATTTCCTAACACCAACACCGCCGTACTCTGAGACAGACCTAACACCCCACCCTCCTTCATTGCATTGAGTAAACGAACCATAAAATCCCGAATTACCTCCCAATGTCGTATATAAAATTCACAAGGGATGCCATCAATACCTGGCGCCTTCCTCGTACTCATTCCCTGTAGCGTCGCCCACACCTCTGCCTCAGATATAGGCCCACCCATGAGAAGGCAATCGTGATCTAACGCGCAAGCAACGTACTCCCCTCCCCATTACCAGTATTGCATGCTTGCTCACCCCTTTACTCTGCATTTGGAGCCTACTACATTTATCGACATAAAAACTTATCCCCTCAGTTGTCGTTAATTCTTGTCCCTCACTAAATCCTAGAGGGACTAGTACCAAACTTGCACACGAAAATCACTCACAACGAAAGCAAAAGACTCGACAGACGATGTAACATCCCCCCAATGAAAAGCAAGGGTGTCACTAGCACGTTAAGAGACAACACAATAAGTGTCAGGGGCCCAAGACTGTTCAACTGCCTCCCAGCATACATAAGGGGGATTACCAATAGACTTCTGGCTGTCTTCAAGCAGGCAATGGACAAGCACCTAATGTCGGTACTTGACCAGCCAGGCTGTGGCTCGTACGTTGGACTGAATGCAGCCAGCAGTAACAGCCTGGTTGATCTGGCCTTGATCCACCATGAGGCCTGGCCACAGACCGGGCCGCTGGGGCGTTGACCCCCGGAACTCTCTCCAGGTAAACTCCAGGTATACCCGTCAACTGTATCCTTCACCACTAAACTCATAATTTCAGTCGCCTTACGCATTTGTGTCTGACTACGTAAGACACAGGCAGACGGCTTGTCACCCCACAAAGCCTCATCAACCCCACCTGAAATGCGTGCCCCATCAAAACGCTTATTTTTCAATACCTGAATTTGATCTTTAATAGCGTCAATCCCGTCCACTGGTAAACCCCAGACGCCTATCCCTGCGCATAACATTGCCGTAGTTGATCCTCCAGGTACCCCATAAAACCACACTCCATGCAATTGGCCTCCTTACCCCGTTGCACATAAAAATCCTTAATTTGAGGCTTCACAATCTCGTCCCAACGCCGCACTAAATACCACCCCTCCCAGGATTCAACTCCTATCGATGCCCATATATCCGCAAACAGTGTCCTATCATCTGCAACAGCAACAGCCTCGTTTTCAACTTCCAGTATTCTGGAAAACGTTTCGGGAGACTCCCCCCATTCGAGCTCCACAAAAACTCCGCGATGGTCCGAGAAAAAGACATCCAACACACACCTTGGTTACAACCACCCGCCGAGACACATACAACCTATCTAAACGCGCCGCATGCACTCTACGCACGAAAGTATGCTCAATACCCCAGTCCAATCCTCCACCCACATCCCCCAACCCCAGCCCAGACAACAAATCACCCAAAAGAAGTAAGCAATAACCCGCCCCCCTCGGTTCAACGTCTTTACGACGCAACACACAGTTCCCATCTCCACCGACCACTGTAATTTCCGGTAGGGACCTCAAATAATACACTAAGACATCTTTAACAAAAGTATTTTTAATATTAACGTCATGTTCTGCAGGCCCGTATACCCCTACGAAACCCACCTTCCTACTACCCCGATCCCCCACTACTCGCGCCATCCGACCCTCCCCTCCCTCCTCCCAATGTCTCATCACAAACGGGCTGGCCACTCCACCTTTCAGACGTCTTGAGTGGGACACATAACTATCATAACCATCAATCTCAAACGAACTTCCTTATGATTATGTTCCTGCAAAAAACACACATCCACAGCAAAACGTGTCAACCACTCACGCATTTGTACACACTTTCGAACAGACTTCAAACCATTAACATTAATAGTTACGCACCTAACTGTGCTAAAGGTGGCTTTCCTCTAGGGGCCACCACCCCCTTTTTCTCTTTGCGTCGGCAAGCACCCAAGGCACCCCCCTCACCTTTGGCAATCCCCATGATACACAAATAACCCGCACTAGAAGAGAGGAGCTTACGACGACGTTTCGGTCCGACTTGGACCATTTATATATATATATATATATATATATATATATATATATATATATATATTATATATATATATATATATATATATATATATATATATATATATATATATATAATATATATATATATATATATATATATATATACACATACAATAAACAGATATCACAACATGCATAATAAGCACTGTGACTGAACATTCAATAAAATAACTGTGGACTAAAATGGAGTCAAAGAAGTGAAAAAGAAACAGGTGTAACAAAAGTGGTCACTAAGTGGTCTCAATGATTCATTTAAAAAACAAGTGTTAAACCTGTGTGGGTCGTATGGCTCTGTTGTATGGCACAAAAAATGCAAAGGTAAGATGACTGTTGATAAACGGGAGTGGCAAGACTCGCATAGTTGCCAAGCAGTGTGTGAGGCAAGTATGTTGCCAAGCACTGTGAGAAGCCAGCAGCAAGAACAACCACACTTATAGTGTCATTTACTTAGATGGCACTGTAGTGACATTAATTTAGATTAGTTAATGATGATTAACTTAACTATCACGAACTAATCGGCAGGCCTGTTATCCTACACGGGCAGACCTATGTATATTTCAGGGACATAATTTCTTCGCCGGCACTCTCAAGCCTAGATCCCAAAAAAGAAAGCCGACAGCTTTAAAATATATTTATCTGGATGTTCTGTATCAAGTTAAGCTCCTCTACTAGATTAAAAATGTATATCACAAAATCCAAACTATTTTATAATTGATAACCACACAGAGGTTGTCTGACAAACTTTTATCTGTAAACAAAAAGTATTCGTCCCGTTTTCATCTCAGAAAATATTGAACATTTATTTACGTGGACAAAACAACTTTCACGGATAATAAATTTATTAAATCCGCCTTATATTTATAAACTAAGTACAAGCCTTGTAAATAAGAAGAAGTTACGCCATATTCACACAAAAAACTTTGATTAATGCAGTGTAAGTTTGAACATGGCATCAATGTCCAGTTGTTACAACATGCACATAAAACAGACTAAAATCAAGAATTAACCGGGAATTATACAGTGCATTTCTCGGTGTATACACACATGTCATATAAATTGTTCAGAGTGTACGCCATTGAAAATCTATTATTTAATATAACCTAGAAGATGAAAAGTTTGCGCTTATTTTGATATTTTTATTAATGTATGAGAATATTTTGCTTCCGACATCTTAACCAATGATCTCTGCTATGAAAGGTCATTTGTGCTTAACTCAAATTTGATGTTATTAAGAACACTGCTAAACAGATCATGTGACGACGTGTCAGTCATGTTAAGTGAGATATGTATTGGCAAGACGGTATAAGTCGCCATTGCGTTCCCATTCACACACTGCTGGGAAAAGTTTACGTAATACTCAGACGACCCACAGAGGCTTAATTATATAGCACTGATAAGTTACTAATAAATCGCTTTACCCACCTGAACAATCAAGCGTAATGTCTGTTACAGTGTTTACCCTGAACTGAGAGATATTGGACAGCACTGTGGGACGGCTGGAGGCTCGGTTGCCATCCCAGGGTGCACTAACCTTGAAATTATTAGAATTCAGCATGACAGTTCAACTTTAATACACTTGCTTACAGTAAAACTCTCACTTTATATTATGTTTTGATAAGAGATTGATTTTATTTTTTTTTCTTCCTCCTGCTTTTTTATTTTATTTTGCTGATAACTTAAGGAAGCTTCACGTAAACAGCTTCAAGTTCTACTAACTGGCATGTTAACGTGCCCTCTGAACAAGATTATTTTTTTTATATTTTTATTTAAAAACAATTCAGTACAGCATATAATAAATATACATATAATCTCAGCAACATGAGATTTATTGCAACCTATCCACTACCTACTCTCGCCTCTGATTACAGAACAGCAGGGCGACAATAACAAACATTTCCCCCCTACCCTAAAAGATACCCTTGGCGTGTACCGCTCAATAAAACCTGGTACAAATATCGTTCTACTTAACCTGGAGTTTACCTGGAGAGAGTTCCGGGGTTCAACGACCCCGCGGCCCGGTCTATAACCAGGCCTCCTGGTGGATCAGAGCCTGATCAACCAGGCTGTCACTGCTGGCTGCACGCAATCCAACGTACGAGCCACAGCCCGGCTGGTCAGGTACCGACTTTAGGTTCTTGTCCAGTGCCAGCTTGAAGACTGCCAGGGGTCTATTGGTAATCCCCCTTATGTATGCTGGGAGGCAGTTGAACAGTCTCGGGCCCCTGACACTTATCGTCTTGTCTCTTAACGTGCTAGTAACACCCCTGCTGTTCGGTGCAAGTTCAGGTACCCTTCATGAACTATCACTCACATTCAAGACACTCTGCTCCCAGGGTGAGTGAAGAGGATTTAGTTATCTGAATGTTGCTTGAGTTATTAAACTTTACCTAATGTTTCCAGCACTTCTTGTTGTATGTATTTTTTTCCTTCCATTTTCTCATTGACGAGACTTACTCCTCGCTTAGATATTTGAGGAGTAGGAGGTGGCAGGATTTCTGTAGTAAAGAAGGTGGCAGGATTTCTGTAGTAAAGAAGGTGGCAGGATTTCTGTAGTAAAGAATTTGGCAGGATTTCTGTAGTAAAGAAGGTGGCAGGATTTCTGTAGTAAAGAAGGTGGCAGGATTTCTGTAGTAAAGAATTTGGCAGGATTTCTGTAGTAAAGAAGGTGGCAGGATTTCTGTAGTAAAGAAGGTGGCAGGATTTATAATAAACTTGTAGTCTCTTGTAGAACGATCTGACATTTTGTTTTTATCATATGTCCTAGTGATGCGAGCTTCACATAGAATCTTTGCTTATCTGAAAACCTGAATTAATTAAAACATTATATATATATATATATATATATATATATATATATATAATATATATATATATATATATAATATATATATATATATATTATATATATAATATATAATACATACATGTCGTGCCGAATAGAGAGACAGAGAGGGCAAACAGAAGATCTTCTTATAAGCAGGCAAGCAACGTGAGATAGAAATTTTTAGTTCAAGATCTTCGCAATCTCTTGAGTTATCAGAAGGTTTGTAGAATGTTCAAGACTAACAACGGATAGGAGGGTAAATTTTCTCTGATACAAGCAATGCTTATCAGCTTGTCTACATCACAAGGATTGTAGAAGTTATACTTATACAACATGCCCGCCACGGGTGTATCACGAGTGACCTTTAACCGTGGCTGTACCTTGATCGTATTCTGGCAGTCTCAGACTCTGTACGTTTCAGATATCACAGAGCCAAGCGGGTTGTTAGTACACCGAAGTGCAAAAATACTAAGCTTCAGTGGAAAAGTTTAATAAAAAAATGGAAGCCATATGTTACAAGCAACAAGTGAAATTCACCCTACCACCTCACACTAGTGTTATTTTGATTATTGGCAACCTTAGCAGTTTATTACACATGTCCGCCCCCACAGATAACAGTTTGTGATATATACATCTTAATTCTTTTATGACAATGAAAATGCATCAGACAGTTATATAAGAAAACCGTAAACTAATATCACAAAAATGTAGGTAGCAATGATGTCATATTTTTTGGTACAGATACTGCAGGCACTTCAGTCTTCAGAACTCATTATTTACTTATCAGGAGAGAAGGAACTGATATGGCGATACCGAAAAGTTATATGTAACAGCACGTATGCACTGATCAAGACATTAAAAAAACCGCTCCAAATAGCTTCCTCAGCTACTCGCTCACGAGTAGCTGAGGAAGCTGGCTAATTATTATTTAGTTTATGTAAAGCGACCACATTTCCAGTCTCAGTCTTGTTTCTGTAGTTTAGCTCGTGCTGTGTGGGTGAGGACAGGAGGGCCAGCCAGCACACTGGCACTGTGAAGCTCACCCAGGACCTCTACCTGTAAATGAATATTGTCTGATAGTGAGTCATGGCATCAAACACCATAAAACTTAAACAAAATAATGTCAACATGAAATATTTCACTAAATGATGTGGGGTATTTTCTGACCTGCTGAAGATTCATCTATCTGTTATACCTTCTCAAATATAGGAGGAGAAAAAAGATCATAATATATATATATATATATATATATATATATATATATATATATATATATATATATATATATATATATATATATATATATATATATATATATATATATATATATATATATACGTGGGTTCATGTAATACTTGTATAAAGAAGCATCAAGAAAAGCTCTTGAAATTGTATGATAAAATTAGTAACAGCAGGAGTGACTGAAGAAAGCTGATTAAGTTATAGAGTATTGGACTCATATTCTGCTCTGCTGTACACCTTTGACTTTTAAATTCACCATTTGTTCAGTTTTAACCGTGCTGGATTATATACAACGCCTCACTGGACCGAAATTAGAATATGTACTATATGTACTGCTCTTGGCAATAAATGCTAAGAGCAGTACATATAGTTTTAGCCTAAACTTTCCTTACACAAAAGGACACGTTGTGCAGTATTGTGCAAGAGGCTCTGTTCCTATGGGACAATTTTGGTAACAGGTAATTGATAGGAAAGTGGAGAAGGAAAAGGTGCAAGCAAGAAGCCAAAACAATATGAGTTTATTATTTGTAATTATCTCTCTTAAAACAAAACTACGCTTTTCTGTGCAGTTGATATAAAGCTTTTTACAACACTTTAAATATGGTTAAAAAAATAACATTTTAAAGAGTTATAGTCTACCTGCACTTGTGTTCCTGGAACTGTCAGAAGCGGTGGAAGGTACACATATGCTAAAGACTGCCCAAGATGGTACGAGAAACATCCACTTGTAACGTTACCAACAACTTTTCCACAAAGCCATACTGTCTCATCGCCCTGGCAGACACCAGAAAAGTTACATTATAAAATATAATTCATTACATCATGTTAAAATACGGTATATGTACCCTAATGTTTCAGCAACAAGGGTGTACTAATTGTGTATAAGAACATAAGAACATAAGAACGAAGGAACACTGCAGAAGGCCTACTGGCCCATGCGAGGCAGGTCGAAGTCTCCTACCGGCTTAAGCCAATGCACCCAACCTAGTCAGGTCAGGTCACATTGACTTAAGGGAGGAACACGGCAACCGACCTGGTAGCACAAGCTATCAGGTCTAACTCACACCCACCCACATCCACTCATGTATTTATCCAACCTATTTTTAAAGCTACACAACGTTCTGGCCTCTATAACGGTACTTGGGAGTTTGTTCCACTCATCCACAACTCTATTACCAAACCAGTACTTTCCTATATCCTTCCTGAATCTGATTTTTTCCAACTTAAAACCATTGCTGCGAGTCCTGTCTAGGCTAGATATTTTCAGCACACTATTTACATCCCCTTTATTTATTCCTGTCTTCCATTTATACACCTCAATCATATCCCCCCTAATTCTACGTCTTTCTAGATAGTGCAGTTTCAGGGCCCTTAGTCTATCCTCATAGGGAAGGTTTCTGATACATGGGATCAACTTTGTCATCCTCCTTTGTACATTTTCCAGAGAATTTATATCCATTCTGTAATACGGTGACCAAAACTGTGCAGCATAATCTAAATGAGGCCTAACCAAGGATGTATAGAGTTGAAGAACAACCTGAGGACTCCTATTATTTATGCTTCTTGATATGAAGCCAAGGATTCTATTAGCTTTATTGCGAACACTTATGCACTGTTGTCTTGGTTTCAGATTACTGCTAACCAGAACTCCTAAATCTTTTTCGCAATCCGTAATATTAAGATCTACATTATTTAGTTTATATGTGGCATGGTTATTGTCCTGTCCAACATTTAGAACTTTGCATTTGTCTATATTAAACTGCATCTGCCACTTCTCCGACCACTGCATCAGTCTATTCAAATCTTCCTGGAGTGCTCGAATGTCCTCGTCAGAATGAATTCGACGGCCTATTTTGGTGTCATCGGCAAACTTGCCGATGTCGCTCTTTATGCCCTCATCTATGTCGTTTATGTAGATTGTGAACAGCAGGGGGCCCAACACTGACCCCTGTGGAACACCGCTCGTGACACTTCCCCACTCTGATTTCTCCCCATTTATGCAAACTCTCTGCTGCCTATTTGTCAACCATGCCTCTATCCAGGAAAAAATTTCTCCTCCTATTCCATGTGCTTTAATTTTCCTCAATAGTCTCTGATGTGGGACCCTGTCAAAAGCCTTACTGAAGTCCATATACACAATATCATATTCATCAAGTGAATGAGCGACACCAGTGTTATTGTTAATGTGTGCTCGGTTTGTAATGCTAATTATCAAATTGCTTGTAAGAAAAAAAATAGTAAAAATATACTCAGTGGCCACTTCATTAGGTGCACGCTTCTAGTGCTGGGTAGAAACCTATCTTTTTCCCCAGAACAACTGAATTCTTCGTGGCATAGTTTCAACATGGTGCTGAAAATATTCGTGAAAGATCCCGGTCCATGCTGACATGATTGAATCACGAAATTGCTGCAGATTTGTCGCATGCACATTTATGATCCAAATCTCCCGTTTCCTCACATCCGGAAGTTTTACTCCAAATTCTGACCCTATCAACTGCATGTCTCAGCAGAAATTATACCAGGCGATGTTTTAGCAATTTTCATCTGTCCAGTTTTGGTGAGCCTGTGCCCAATATAACTTCAGTTTCTTGTTCTTAGTTAACTGAACTGGAAGCCTCTGTGGTCTTCTTTTGCTGTACCCATCCACTTCAGAGATGCTTTTCTGCTGACGACTGTTGAGTTACTGTCGCCTTCCTGTCAGCTTGAACCAGTCTGGACATTCTCCTCTGACCTCTGTCATTATCATGGCGTTTTTACCCACAGATGTGACACTCACTTGAAGTTTTATGTTTTTTCACACCATTCCTATAAACTCTAGAGACTGTTGTGTGTGAAAATCCCAGGAGATCAGCACTTTCTGAGATACTTAAACTACCCCATGTAGAACCAACAATTATTCTACTGTCAAAGTCAATTATATCACATTTCTTCCCCATTCTGATGTTTGGTCTGAACAACAAATGAAGCTCTTCACTATGTCTGTATGCTTTTAGGCACTGAGGTGCTGTCACGTGATTCACAGATTAAATATTTACATTAACGAGCAGATGTACAGGTGTACCTAATAAAGTGGCCACTAAGTGTATAAATATTGTACAGTGATCAATAATCAATGCAATAATATACTCACATGTGGGTCTATACAGTACTATACTTACATGTGGGTCAACATCAGTGGAGTCTATTTTGACCAATACAAGATGTCTCCGAGATCGATATTTTAGAAGATCTTGCACTGCTGCTCGTCCTACGAAATCTCCCTAAACATGAAGAGGAAAGGAAGAATTCACCGTTAAGATATGGAAGTTATATTGGTAATAATACAATTATGTTTATACTTGTCAGTAAGGTGTTTATAAGGAGCCGTATCCCAGACAACTCTGTTTACATTCTACGTCAGTGTTATTGTCAAAAACATTTATAACTACGTCAATATTTTGGGTGATTAAAAAATTTACATAAAAGAGAAAATTGAAGATTACATTAATTCCCTGCAAAATTTCCTTTACAAATGGATTAACGACAGGCAAATATTATATTACATAAAGAATAAAAAGCCACAATACCGTGAGTGGAACAATACACAAATATCCCGCAGACAGCGTAGTGAAACGTATGACGACATTTCGGTCCGACTTGTACTCTGGCCGAAACGTCGCCACAAGTTTCATTAATACTCTGGAGTCGAGAGTTTTCTAGCACTTCCACATTGTTGGTGACTATGTAGCAAAACTAGGCAATTGTATATAAAATGCCGAAGCCTACAGCAGTAATCACCTTCCTAGTATACAGTAGGTATTATCTCCAACTATGGTTGCTTTTCATAATTTTAATGGCGCATGTAAGTGCTTGACACTTGTTGACGAGAATAATCTCTGAATTAAAATCAACTCTTGTATTAAGTTCGAGTGAGGGCGACAAGACTGACAACTCTGGTCACAGCAAGAGACGACTCCTCTGAAGACGACATTGAAATTTTAATAAAGTTAACTCTGGCAATATACTGTAACATCAGACAAAAACTTATAGTTATTTTTTTAATAAAAAGTTTCCATGCGATAATGTATGCCTCTTGTGGTGTCAGCATAGTTGTTGAATCCCCTTACATGTGTTGTATAGATTAGCTGAGCATTATAGTATCATCCATGTGTTTATATAGAAAACCCCTTAGGCCGAGTGACTGTTTGTGTGACGTCACGGGATGCGCATGTGTACGTTCGTACCTCTGCCTCCTTCTCAGTTGGCGTTTGACATAGGCTAGGACAAGGCAGAGGCTGGGCTCCATCTCCCATTACCAGAGTCTGACAATATATCGTTACCATCCAACCAGTGTGTCTACCTTCAACCCTCGATACCTCCTTTTTAAGAACCCCTACGACAAATGGTGACAGCGGAGGGCCTGTAATCCTGACGATTACAGCAATTTCTGGAGATAAATTTCCACTGGGCCTGCCGACATCTTGTGAGTAGGCCTGCCGAGCAGGGTACGCTCGACCTACCCCAGCCAGCTACTTCAAGCCAGCTACTCTCTCAAGCTTCTACCAGCCACTACATTATTCACTGGTCAGTCTCTTTGTATTAGTGTTCATCTGCTTATTTGCATCACTCCCGAGGGGTTGACCCGAGTTTGCAAAATAAGCCAGCTTCCAGTCAGTGGTGGGGGAGTCAGAACAACCGAGTCCCAAACTAGCCTACTCCATCCAGTTCTTTTGCCTGCCAAGCCAGCTTCCACCCCTGCTGTGCTCATCGTGAGAAGTTATCAAGATATTCTGTGTGAAGGGTTAAGATAAGCCAGCTAGCAACTAACCCAGGTGTCTTACCCCAGTACTCAAGCAAGCCACGTGAGTACAGTCTTCATCACTTGTGATTCAGCTCCAAGCCATTCTGAGTGCTCCTTTTCATCCCTGTGGTGTTGTGGTATTTTGTGGGTGTATTTTAAGCCAGCCAGCTTAGAATTATCTTCGCGGCAGTGTGGTTGTCTTCAGTGAGGCTTACGCCATTCAACCCATAGGCCCACTCACCACGTGTGTCTCACCACCCCTGGTCTTAGTCCTGTTAAGCCCACCCACCCACCCACTCACCACTCAGCCTCAGATGCCTCACCCAGCCATTAACCTACTCACCCAACCTCTACCAGTGTTTTGGTACACTACCAGGGGTTATAGCACCATATTTTAAGGACCACATAGGGGGTCAAGAGCTAGAGTGTGTCTTCGATAGTGGCGCCAACTGTTGAAAGCCTCCTGTGTGTGTCTATCGTCGATTTAAGTGCAATTCTTTGATCAAGTGTGCTGAGGAGCACAGGAGCACAAGGAGGACATAGCAAATATTGGTTTGAAATAGCGGTAGTTGATGATGGAACATTACCTAGTTTGGTTCTTTGGCTTAGGACTTGGGTAGTTTCAATCTAGTTGGACATAGTACATGAGTGGGATAGGGTTTGGATTTGAGTGGGACTTTATCACATCAGGAGCTTATTTCTTGGGTAGCATTGAAAATTGGGTTGGGTAAATGTTTTTTTAGTGGGATGAATTGTAAAGGGCCCCCCTAGTAATGGGCCAGCAGGCCTCCTGCAGTTTTTCCTCCTTTCCTTATGTTTAAGTTCTTATGTTTACTCTCCATACCACAACCTTATTCTTCACTAAGTCTTACAAACGATAATTTTTTCAAGAGCATTTGCGATGTTGAACATTCTTTTTGTGTTTCCAGTGATTTTTTTCTCTTAGTGACTTCAGTGGACTCTCGATCAGACTCAGTGTTGTTTGAAATAATCTTTTTATCTCCTTAATTCAGTGAAAATTTTCATGCTTTATTTTAGTCTGTTGTGTTGGTGTCTTTTTATACACTTGAAGAAAATACTTATGTTTTTCCTTTGTTTTAGCAACAAGAGCAGTAAGAACTTTTTTTTTACACTTAAAAAAACACCTAGTGTTCTGGGTATTCCATAAATTTAATTATAATTAATTTTGTTGTACCTGCATAAAAGACTCATGTTGTCTCATTATATATAATTTTTTTCATCCCACATTTGTGTATTCTTTTTTTTTTTTCTTATTGTTGAACATTTTTTTTTGTGTTCATTTTCTTCATTTACCAGTGCTAATTTTCTTATTTCCACCGACAATAGTCCATTGTTTGTGCAAGCAAATAATTATTATTTTTTAAATTTTCACACATCAATTTTCCCTTGCAAGAAAATTCTAGCTTTGTTTTAGTTGATGTGTTTGTCCTGCATCACTGAAGTGTTCAAACTTTTTTTTTCTGTGTTTTAGCACCTATTATTTTTTCAGTTTCATTGAACAAATTCCTTTTAGTGCAATTTTTAAGTTCTTTTTTGGGAAAAATTTTCTTTTGCTTTGTTAAGTGTTGCTTGTTTTGCATTAAGAGTTAAGTGTTTCAATCAGTTCATTCCTTGATATTTTTCTTTTCTTGGTGTGTATTTTTTTTTTGTATGAATGGTTAAAAAACCGACAAGAAAACTTCAATTTTTTTTTTATTATTGCACTTGACTCATTTTTCAAAAAATTCTTTTGCAAGGATTGGTTGCCATTAAAAATTTTTTTTTGCAGAAATTTTTTTGCATTTGTGCAGTACTTTCTGATTAGCAGTTGTTATTTGCAATATTGCTACATTTTTTTTCATGCATTTCATATCCTGTTCGGCATAAATTTTATTCTTTTTTGTGCCCTTTATTTTATTTCAGTGAATTTTGTCCCAGTTTGTTTTATTTTCACAACTTTTCTGAGTCCAAATTTTAAATTTTTTTTTTTATTGATTTATCATTTTATTGTGTATTTCCCCATTGCTTGAAAGTAAAAACAACTCAAATGTGCCATTTTATTCTATTTAAAGTAAAAGTTAGCAATTAGATTTGAGTAAAGTACAAGTTTCTTATTTTTTAAAGTGTTGTTTGTTCATATACATTTCTCTGGACTGTGAGTTTTTTTGCTTACCCGTGTGACCTGTCAATTTTTTTAATTTTCTTATGCAGAAAATTAAGCTTTTCTTCCCATTTTAATTCACTGGTTTTTGTGTTCCCAGTTACGTTTTCTTTTGTTTTTCTAAAACTTGTTTTTCTTTTGCAAACAGTCTCAAATTTTTTTTCAAGCGTGCCCCCAGCACATGCTGCTAGTACAAACCCTTAATACATCACCCAAAAAACGGTAACTCCTATCAAAAGATGATACACCCCGACTTTTTACCTGCGTAATTTTAGTCGTATCCGTATGATGCATGCCATTTTCAACGGAACCAGACAACCTTTAAGTTGGTTTACTGCTGTTTGAGCCAGAGCTGATGTTTCAGTTTTATGGTCTTCTATCTGAAGTTGTTTAAACAGTATCGGGAAGGAAGTCTAGCCCTTCCCAGCCGCCTCACAGTTTCAACTTTAAACGTATGAAGGGGCTTTTAAATCTAACCAGGTGGCAAGATTATAACAGTTTTTAATTTATAAAAACTTGAACCGTGCGAGAAACCGATCCGTTTGTCATTCTCAAAGAATTAGTTTGCACAGCTCCGAGACCAGAAGAGTCATTAGATGAGTTTGCCCTTCGTCTTAATAATCTAATGTCCTCATTTGTTAAAGCAGGTCAAAATTCCAAGTACCTTAAAGATAACGATAAACCAGCCCTTGAAGGGTTTGCCAAATTAGCCGCATTCAGAGTTATTAAACAACTAATGCCACCGACATCTATGTATGTGTACAATTCAAGTCCGCTAGATGCTACTATGGGACCGCTCGCAGCTCTCATCCATGTACGAAATTTGTGTCCCGAGGGAACCTTCCCTTATCATAAGTCTACACCAACCACTTTGTCCACTCCTGTACCTCCTCTAGTTCCTGCTACTACCAAAACTCCCAACCTTAATCACTCGCGTCCATCATCCAAAGCTAGTGTTAAGAGCCATCATTCCCTTAGCACCCGTAGTATGTACAGTACCCACAGTCAAAGAACTTGCTACAATTGTGGTTACCGTGGGCATATTGCTATTAATTGTCATAAAAGTCACCTTAAGAAGCGTCATACTGATGATGAGTACCAGTCAGATCTTCCCTACTGTACTTATCATAGAATTCATGGACATGACACATCTGAGTGCAATGCTCTCTACAACCTGCAGTACTCTAGATCTTTCCGTGGCCATTCCAACTGCAGAGCCAGGAGAGGAAACAGACGTCGTGGTTCTCAAACTAACCAGAACCAGGCTCATTCTTCCAATTCAGGGGAATCCGAGCACCCAAGTCTACTCGTCTAGTCATGACAGTAGTAGGTGATAACGAGTACACCATCCAAGTTCAAAATTCCTATGAAGCCTTAGCCAGCCCTGAGAATGACAACCCTGCTGTTGATGCTGCTTCACACGTCTCTGAAATAGAGGAATTTGGGGATGAAGTAGAAAATGCCTTCTCCGATGACAACCCACCTTTCTGTTTGCGTATAACTCCTAATGAAACGATTGGTCCTTTAGTACAAGCTTCTGTCCATAATGCGCCCGTTCATGTGTTCATGGACTCTGGTGCGCAAGTTAATATCATCAGGTCTAGCGTGTTTAAAGAGAAGCAGTTACGACGTGTCCTCCTCGTTGAACCAACTACTGTAACCTCCCTTAGCGGAGTAGCTGGTTCCCTTCTGCGAGTCCGAGGTCAGACTTCGCTCACCTTTACTATCCAAGGCAGAGACTTTACTGCTGCTTTTCTTGTTGTCGACCAGATTACTTTCCCTGGTGACCTTCTACTGGGATTTGCTTCCATGCGAGACTTACGCATTGTGCTCGACCTGTACCGATGGCATGCCCAAATTGACGACTTGATCGTCCCATTTTGGGGTTACCAGCTTGGATCAGAAATCTGCCATACTGCCGCAGAGTATGATGTATGAATTAAGTCCTTACAAGCCAATGCATTCTCCAGTAGCGTACCCAAGTGGTCAGGCACTGGTAACTCTGTCACTCCCATCTGTGTTCCACCTACATCTTCAGACATGCAAGATAGTGTTCTGTTGCCTCAAGTGTCCGGGGACACTCAGACTGCCTTGAGTGCACAGCCTATCCCTGCAATGACTGCTAGTTCGAGTAGTAGTTTCTCCACAGGGGATGCCTTGTCAGAAAACGATTACTTGAAACTAGTAATGCCATCTCTTGTTGATGTCACATGCCGTCTGCAGAAAGACGTCTCTATTGCGGCTAGTGCTCTCACTAGAGTGTCTGTTGTTGTTCCTAATGTTCCAGATGGTGATAACGTCCTAGTTGACAGTGATTCCTGCAAGGTCAAGGGTTTATTTGTTGAACCTTCCTTACACGTTGTAAGAGACGGTAAGATCCATTTATTCCTTGCTAACACTTCGGGTCACAGTGTTCGTCTCAGAGCAAATACCAATCTCGTTGACCTAGTTCACTATCCTTACCCTGTTCAAGTACAGGATGACGTGCCACCTGACCAGTGGGTCGGTGCTATTTCAACAGTGGAGACCTCATCCACTCCACTGGATCAATCCATCCTACCAGTTGAGGAGAAAGACATAGCTCCCACTGATTTCCCAGACGAAGTCCAGCGCTTGTTGACGCTGTTGAACAAACATCATAAAGCCATTGCCTTACCAGGTGAGAAGATGGGTATAATGAACTTATTGCCCCATCGTATTCCACTTGAACCTGGTACTAGACCTATCTATATACCTGCATACAGAATGCCTCATTCCCAAGTTGCTGTTGCAGAAGAACTGATCAATCAGATGCTCGATGATGGAGTTATTGCACATAGCAATTCACCCTGGAATGCGCCCTTGATCCTAGTGCCTAAGAAGGACGGCACTTTGCGCCCGGTGATTGTCTTTAGGAAGTT